CATTAACACTTTAACTAATTGAGGAACTATTTGAATCAAAGCATCTTTGTAAGTTTTATCTGCCTCATTACTTATTAATACACGAAACACTGCCTCCGTCAATTTTTCACTTGATGCAACAGCACCTACTTTTTCAAATCCTGTTACTAATTTCCGAAGTGTTTGATAACGAATTGTTGCTGGTTGGTTTATCATTAAATTTGTTGGATATGTGCTCAATATCACTTTCGGAGTATCTTCGTTCGACATAAGATAATCTAACGTTTAAGATTTTTTTTTATTTTAAAGTTCTTAATAATTAGAGAAATTCCCGATTATACAGGAAAAATGATATGAAGGGTTTTAATTGTCTCTTCAGGACAATATAAGAGAAACAAAAGAGGTTTGGTACCACAAACCATGTTAATAAGACTAAATGATGTTTTAATAAAGCAATATTCAATCTTATTATTCTTTTGAATGAGAAAAGAAAAATAAAAATGAAGCAAGAAAAGTAAAAAGGAATTTTTTAGGAAGAAAAGAACTTAAAAAAAATTTTTGATTTAATAAAAGTTAATGGAAATTCCTATTCCAGAAGAAGCATTTGATGAATCAGCATATTTTAAAATTGATCGTTTAAATGATAGAAAAGGATTAGCAACAGTTATTTTACTTATGTTATGGATTACTTTATAAAAAGATTATGGGTTTTGTTAAAGACCCCAGAAATGTGTATGTTAATACTTCTCAAAAACAATGGATTTCAGGAGAATTGTTTAGTTATGTACATTACAATATTTTAATAGTTTCAGTAATTATAATTATTTTATTATTCATTGGAACTCTTTTGTTCTATCGTATTTTACCAACAATAATTACTTAGTTTGTGTTTAATATATTTTATTCTAAAATGATATTTATTGAATAGTTTAAATTTAGTTCTTTCTGTTATAATACCAACAATTATATTTCCTGTATTACTCTTTTATTTAGGAATGAATAATGGATTATCACATCATCCTTTAGAATTAATTCTTACTATTGTTATTGTTATTCCTTTAATTTATAAAAAAGTGGGGTATTTCAACTTTAATTGGACAATTACATCTATTGTTTATAACACCTCATTCAGTTTTTTCTTCTCATCAATATTAATTATCCTTCCTACAATTATGTTGATTGTTATCTTTACAATTATTATTATGTTAATATTTCATAGTATCATTTCATTAAATCTAATAGGATATCCAGGCATTACACCACCAATGGGTTTTGTTGCAAGTGTCTTATTAATGATATTTTCTAATATGTTTTATTATATCTTTGAGTCAATAATTACAATGTTCCTCTCAGCGACTGTTTCATATAAATTACATGAAAACAAAGGGCTTCATCCAATAGAAGCATTAATCAAAACATTTTCATATCGTTTAGGATCAGCATCATATGCTATTGAATCTAGTTTTATTTCAATGGCAATTTCATTATGCAAATTACTAATAAAGATACCAATTGGTACAACATTTATTGGAATGAAATTAAAAAAATTTATTGAAGAAAATAATTCAACTCAAACATCTATTTCACCTTTTGTATTTATCGGATATTATGGACATACTTATATTCATTCTAGATGTGGACTAAATGAAAAAATTAAACAAAGTTCAATGAGTAGTATTTTTGATGAATTACATTTAAAAGAATTAATTAATATCTTTGAATCAAGTATGTGCGGATTAGTCATGACTCTTGTTCTTCTTCTTTCCTTCATATATTATGGTGGAAGTGTTTCTTATTTTACAATATTATTACTAATGTGCTCTTCTCAAGTGATTGGTTTAATTGGAACATTAATTAAATCATTAGGAGAAGTTATGTTATTTGACTGTATTGAACAATTAGCTGAAGGAAAAGTATTAAATGAATTTACTAGTTTAATACAGAATTTGAGTAATAACATTCCTCAGAATGGGTATAATAGAGTGAATTAATTATTATTTCTTGTCATCCGTTGTTCTCTTTTCATCTCTCTCCACCACTTAAATAATTCATCATGTTTCCTAATAATTTCTTCTCCAACTTTACCTTTTTCACTAGTTATCCAAATCTTTTAGTTAAGAAATTAGTAATGAATTTGAAAGAAAACACCAAAAAACTTCAAAAAAAGTTTTTCTCTTTGTTTGTTTAATTAAATTCTTTTAGAATTATTATTATTATTACTTATTAATATAATTTAATCTAGCTTTACTTAAAGTAACAACACTATAGTTAAAAACTAATATTCGATAAAATTAATAAACTCCTTTTTGTTATATTATCTGTAAACTATAAATCCAAACAAATTAATTTAAATGTTATGGTTTTAAATTATTTGTTTATTAGAAAAGAATTAAAACAAGAAATTTTCAAAATAGATATTTTATTTAGTTAATAAAAATATAATTTATTCAAAAAGGAATTTGATACAGAATTACTTAATACAAACTAGAAAATAAAAATAATTAAATAAGTCTCAATTTCTACAATAACTTTAATTTGTAAAGATAAAAAGTATAACATTTGTTATAAAATATTTAATATAATACTAATTAACAAACTCCAAACACTTCCATTTTCTATAAACTTATTCTATTTATTATATAATGTTCTTTTAAATTAATATTTCATATTAAACTAATAAAAGAATTATGAAAAACATTAAACTAACTATCATGACCCAAAGACAAACAATAATATCTCTAACAATAATCTGATTTATTAATTAAATATAAAAATAAATTTTATTTGTTTTTTTTTTACTTGAATAAGAAAGAAATTTATACATAAAAATATTTAGAATTACTGAAAATGACAATATTAGATTGAACTGAAAAACAGAAAAACTAAGTAAAGTCAATCAACATTGTTATTTCTTTTATTTTTTCCTTTCTTCAGGAATTTAGATAAAAGTCATTTAAATAAAGTTAAATAAACTATATATAAAGTATTATATTGAATGAATAAAAAAAGAAGTAAATAACTTAATTATAATAAAACACTTTGTAAACAGAATATAAAAAAGCAAAATAAACAAACATAAAATTTAGATTTCGTTTTTCTTCAAACATTAAACAAAAAAAAAATAATAAATATTTAAATTATGTTTATTTTGTTTACAATCCTGAGATATTCACACTGACAGGTCTTTCATTTGCTTTTTCATTTGAAGATTTATCATCTAACTTAACTGTAAAAATGATAGGATCGCTTTCAATCCAATCAATATTAATAGAAACTGCATTACTAAGATCAGCAGAAGTGGTTGTTTCAGGCATACTTGTCAATTAAACAATAAGTACTTTTTTTTTATTTTTTTTTCTTTTTATAGGGTTCTATTTTTGTAAGTTCTTTATCAGCTTTTGTGACTTTTCTCTTTTTCCTTCTTTCTTACATCATTCAGCTAAAATGTTATTAACGAAAGACAAAAAAAAATATAAAATAATTGTTATTAGAAAAAGAATGAAAATATAATAAAAATTCAATATTAATGAAGAAATGAACTAAGCATCATACGTCTTAACAATGGTTGTAATTTGAGCACGACAAATAGGACATTTACTCAATTTTTTTGAACATTCATAACAACAACAAATATGCCCACAAGGGATAAAAACAGTATTCTTTTCATTATCAAGACATACTTTACAAATTTTATTCATATCTTCCTCAGTATCTGTTGGAGAAGGTGTTGGAATAATAACTGTTTTTAAAGGAATGGTATTTTCTTCTTGATCTGAAGTATCTCTATGAGGATGAACAACCAAAAGAAGAATACAGCAAATACATATAACTACAACTGTCCCAAGGAAACAAATAAGAACAATAGGAACAGAAATAAGAGACTTTGAAGAAGCAGTTAAAGAGTCAGGAATGACAAATGAACAATGAAGGTAATCATAATCAATTTTTATAATTTTTTCCTCATTTTTACATTCATTAGATTTATAACAATTTACCATTTCTAATAAACAATTACATGAAGCACTAGACTTATTTATATGGTTTAAAGCAGCATCAGCTCGACACCTAAAATAATTAGCTTCACAATCAACACAAGAACCAGAGGCTGTTTGAATTAAAAGGAATAACGTTAAAATAACAATTAAATGAGGGATGTCAGGAGCAATACATTTCTTTGAATAGATAAGTTTAAATGATGATTTGTATTGTAGAGAGTGCAAGAAATTATTTAATAAGTCGCAGAGCGGGTAAAAACTGCGAATGGGAAAACCCAAGTAATCTTTTTGAGATTATTACAATCTTTTTCTTTTCTTTTTTTCTCTTTTTTCCTTTTTTATCTGATTTGTCTTCTTTTTTAGCACTACGTTAATTCAATTTATTTACTTTAAATATTCATTTAATTATTTAATAAAAATAAATAACAAAAATTTGAGACTTAAAAAAAATCTTATCACTCAATAAAAAGAAGCTTCTTTTCTATCAAATTTCGTATTCTCACGTTTTTGGTTCAAAACCCTTAATTGTTTTTAGTAAAAATCAATCAAAATCTTAAAAATAACTTTTAATAAAAAATTGTAAACAAGATTTTATCATATTGTTATTAAGTTTATGTATAACAATTATTATTTTGACTATTTTATATATTCTTTTTGAGACATATTTTACTAGTATTAATGTTATAATCCAATTTTTTTTTTGTCTCTTATCGTTTTGTTTATTTTAGTCTAATTTTGGTATTATGTATGATTGGTTTATTTGTATTTTACTTTCTTCTTCACATTCTAATAAAACTTTCTTTCAAAATAACAAACACGTATATCTCTTGAGTTTTTTGAGTCAATTGAAAGTGAAATGAAAAAACAAGGAAATAATCCTAACTATGAAGAGAAAAAAGTTAAGCATAAATAAATAATACAAATTAACAATGTTGTTCTATACCAAAGTAATATAATGTCATAATGCATTTCTGTATGCAAATTATAAAATAAAGAAATCAAAGATACAAAATAAAGCAAAACTACTAAGACAATTGGCTGATACGAGTATGTTTTTTAGAGGTTTAATCCTTTTTTTCTTAAGTCCAAACTTTCTAATCCTACGTCACATTTCATTATAGCCATAAAACCAACCAATTAGAATTTAGTAACCTCTTTTCAGTAAACTAAATAGAAATATTATAAGAGAGTTAAGTTAATAATATAAAAACTTTTTAATAATATTTTAATATTCCCTGTGATAGAAATTCAATAGAATATATAAAAAAGAGTGATGTTAATGTGATTTATTATAATAAAAAGTGTTTTTGTGGATATGAAAAGTAATACCAATGATATATCAGTGAATCGTCTTTCAAAAATCAATGTCATGATTATTATAGTTTTTTATAACAATAATTTGATTGTTATTAAACTATTTTAGTTTAAGAAGAATATTAATTAAATAGGAAATAATAACATAAATTTTTTCTATTGATTTGATGAAAAAAGATTCTTCTTGTTTTACAACATTTATAGAACAACTCTTATATGAATATTTGATTAGATCATCATAGTATGATTTATGAAATGAACAACCAAAAAATAAAGAATGATTCATTAAAAAATATAGAATTTTATTAAATTGTTTTATAAATTTGTAGAACAAACAAAGGAAGAAAATTGAAAGAAGAACTAGAAAAATTCAATGCTCATTTTTGTGTTGATAAATCTTTCAATTGCTTTTGAATTAATTATTCCAGTAGAAAAAACTAGTAAAGGAGAGATTTTATCTTTCACAAAGATGAAGCAAGATGAGTGTATAATAACAAAAACAGGTTCAAAGAAATTAGTCATCGTAAAATTATATTCCTTTATATTACACTTTGCTTCTAATGATTGTTCAGGTGCTCGAATTTCTGTAGAAGAAATAAAGCCTTCATCTATTGAATCTTTTTCACCAAAATCAATTGCTGCACTCAAACCTTGTCGGGGGCAAGAAGAGCCAATTAATGAAGAAATTATCTATATCACTGAAACATGTTCTTCTACAAGTTCAGGATCTACACAATTTAAAGTTATTAATAACTCTCTTATTACTTTTGATTATCCATCCAACGATTGTAGTGGTTTATCCCTACAATCACATTGTGTTCAATGTGGTGAATCAATTTCAAAATATACTTTGGTATGTTCTTCTGGAATATCTATGGTATCAATGGTATTTGTGTTTATCATCTTTGTCATTAGCATTTAATAGCATTAAATGTTATGTTAAACCATTTATTTATTGGAAAAGTATTTGGTTTTATGCTTCTTATATTAGTCTCTTCTTGTTAATAAAAGAAACCATAATGTTTGTTAATTTGAAAAATATGGTTTTATTGTATTATTTTTCGTATGGAAATTAACCAAAACTGTCCAACATAAAATTATTTACTATTTATTGGTTGGTTCATTTAATAATTCTTTATAATATTTTAATTCTTGTTGTAAGAATTGATACTGCTGTCCAATGATATGAGCCTCTCTTAGTAAATCACCTTTTTCAAAATTACTTTCAGTTAATTGTTTTGCAGCATCTATGACTGTAGGAATTTCTTCAGTAATTCCTTGTTTAACTATATCTTCAAGTTCTTTAATTGTGAGGTCTCCATCAATTACATCTCTAAAATCTTTTAATGAACTATCTAATAACTCTTCTTCAAATAATCTCAAGATTTCATTCACATTTTGATCAATTCCCATTTCTTCCATTTCAACTCTTTTTCTTGTGTTTTTCTCTTTTTTCTTTTCAAGTTCCTTCAATAGTTTTTCTCTTTTTCTTATCACCACAAAAAAAATAATAACTTATAAAACATAAAATATACTAAAATGGAACTTTTGTTATTGTAGATGGAGCATCAATCTTATCTTCAAGTATTTTATTAAATCTAATTTCTTTTAACTTTTTGCAATGATTGAAACACTGAGCCCCAATTTTAGTAATCATAGTTGGAAGAATAATCAAACTATTATTACATGAATTAAAAACTCTATTCCCAAGTTGACTACATTGAATAGGAATATTGCTTCCATAACACATTCTATCGTAACGAGTATATTCTATTACAGAACATTCAATATTATTTTTTGATGCAATAACACTCATCCAATAAGGAATTTTACCATTTAATACATTACAGGGAGATTTAATGGATTGAATTGTACAATGAACAAATGCTTTTTCATCAAAATCAACCCAATCATGAATAATAACTTCTTTAATAGTACCACAATTTCGGAAACAATTTCGTGGAATATGACAATGTTCTCCAATAATGATTTCTTGTATTCCAGAACAGTTCATAAATGCTTCTTCTTCAACAATAGTATTATTTGGAATATATACATGTGTAATCTTCTTACAATTATAAAATGCTCGTCTTCCAATGAATTGAAGTGTTGGATTAAATTCAATAGACTCTAACTCTTCACAATTCTCAAACGCACTTTGTTCAATTTTTTCAAGAACTTTTAATCCAATGACTTTCTTTAATTGTTTCCAACTTAAACAACAACCTTTTTGAATTGTTTTTAATGAACTAAATAGTTTTAATTCAACAAGTCCTTTATCTAGACCAACATTTCTCGATAAAACTTTTAAGTGTGAAGGAATAGTAATGTTTGTTAATGAAGTGCATTTATCAAAACAATCATCTTGAAGTACTTCTAGTGAACTTGGGAGTTGAATGTCTCTTAGTTGTGAACAATTTTTAAAACATTGAACTGAGAGTATTTTTAATTCATTAGACAACTTTACGTTACTCAATGAAGAACAATTTTCAAAACAATTATTTCCTAACTGAGTAACCATCTGAATATCAATTGACTTCAAAGATGTACAATTTTTGAAAACATTATTATTCAATGAACGTAGAGTTGATGGTAAACTTATTTGAATAAATCCACAATTTTCAAAAATAGATTCTTCAAGTTGTATCAATTGAGAATTAAATTGAATTGATGTTAATTTTGTACAATTCATAAAACAACATTTTCCTATTGAAATACATTGACTAATATCAATAGTTTCCAATTCAGAACATCCCATAAAACTAGAGTCTTCAATGACTTTTATATTATTCATTGTAATTTCTTTTAACCCTCTACTTCCAGAAAAGCACTCTTTGGGAAATCGTTCAATACAACTATTTAGTATGACTTTTGATAATTGATCACATCTATCAAAACATCCATGTTTAAGGTCTGTTGCTGAATCCAAATGGATTTCTTTTAATTGTTTACAACAATTGAAGCAATTTCTTCCTATAGAAATTAAATTTTCTAAATTAATCTTTTCTAATGCAAAACATTTATTAAAACAACATGTTGGTAGTGATGTTAGATTATTTGGTAAAATAACTTCCTTTAAATGACGACATGAATCAAAACTATGTTCTGATAACATATGAACACTAGATGGAATTGACACCGATGTTATACAATCATTCAAAAAAACGCTTTGTTCTATTATATTAACACCTAGAGGGATTAAACTATTAAAATAATTTTTGTCTTCTCGGATATAATGAATCTCTCCATCACAACAGATTCCATTCTTTTGTAGTACATCAAAAAATAGTGATGATATTGATGGATGGAATACTTTCATTCCACACCCATCTATATGTTGTAAAGAAAAACATTTCTTGAAAGCTGAATAAGAAACGTCTTTGAGATTTGTTGAAATAGTAATAGAAGATAGTGAGGTACATTCATTGAAAGCACAATCACCAATTTGTTCAATGTATCTAAGATCCATTTCTAACAAACTTTTACAACTTTCAAAACAATAAGAAGGAATATTTTTTAAATAACCAGACAACGTCACCGCACTTAACTCATTACAAATATTAAATGCACCAACATCAATTTGTAACACATGGCTTAGATCAATTGATTTGAATAAATTATAATAAAAACAATCATATCCAATTTTTGTTATTGTAGTTGGTAAATTAATTTCCGTATTAGCCGCATAATAATAACAACTCTTGCCTAATTCTTGAATACCAGGAGGTATATAATTTATTGGCATTTTATCATGGTCATGCTTCCCTAATCTAACTTTTTTAAAAATTACATTATTTTCTTTTGATTGAGAAACAACTTTATATCCAACTACATAACAATAAATGTATTGATCCATTCCTTCTAATTGTTTATCTTTTTTATTATATAGACATTGTTTCTTCATTCTTGGAAATAAATCTGTTGAACTTACTGAAAATGGATTATATTCAAATTTATTATAAATATCATTGTATTTTTTATTGATACCTTTAACCATGAATGCTTCTTTTTCATTATTTAAGTACTCAACTAAATGGTAAATTGAGTCATTATCTAACTGTGACATATCTTTTCTTCAGTAACCCAAGATTTTTTTCCTTTCTTTTTACAGTTCAATTAATTATTACGTGTATTCATGTGGAACCACATATTCATTTATCATATTTTTAATTTTCCTAAACATAGAAAAAAGAAAATTATTCTTCCTCTTGCCAATTTAAAAAAGAAAAGATAAAGCAAGAGATAAAGAGAATAATAAAGTGATTTCATTGTTCAGAGAATAAAAACGAAGATACAACTTGAATATTCGCTCAGTAAAACATGAATAAACTAGTGTATTCGAATTCATTTCTTAAACATTTAAACAATGAACATAGGGATATTGATAAGGAATGTATTAAAGATGAAGATTGTTTTAATATGATTAAGCATGAAAATCCTGAAATTGAATATGAATTGATGAAAGAACGTTTTCCTTTTATTGATCAAACTAATGCATCACTGTTAAGTGCTATATTATTATAATTTATTTACTATTTATTCTTCTCTTTAATCATTGAATTAAAAAGAAAATAAGACAATAAGACAAATGAATAATGAAAATATTATCTGTGTTGAGAGAATTATACTACACTATTCCATATCATAAGATACGCATCTCCATTATATGTATTCTTCAATATCTGTAACACAGAATTACAGAATGATGTCATTGAAGGTGTAATTTGTCTTTCAGCTAATAATACATTAACAACAGACAATAAAGCACTTTTACAACATAAAGGTTGATTAGCAATAATACGCCCAAATCCTTCTACTGCAACAACACGTGCCTCATTATCTCCTACTTCAAGTAATGAATCAATAAGTTCATCACAAATTAAGGTAATATGAGGAATTATTAATTCAGGTTTTCTTAAAGCAATTCTACCTAGACAAACACAAAGATTTCTTTTTAAAAAAGGTTTTGATTTTGTTGATGCTGATGTAGCAATTTCTATTAATCGAATTAGAACATTAACAAAGGGAGCAAACAAGTTTTCAATTCCATTAGGTGATGATTTAATTAAAATACCAACAGCCCATAATCTAATGGACAAATTCCCTGTTTGCATTTTGGTTAATACTTGTTCTACTACAGGTTGATATGAAGTTGCCAATGTCATTGGATCTTTTTGTAATATATCACCAAGTAAAGTAAATGCTTGGTCTACTACTTCTTCATCCACTGACCTCAACCCACATAATACTACTCCACCTACATTTTGCATTGTTCTAATTAATTCTACTGGTTGATTAGTTGTTTCTATTAATGAAGTTAATAATTGTAAAGCAGCGGCTTGGTCTCTAGTATCATCACTATGAATCATATCAATAACAACATTTACTAATTGAAGTTCTGAACCAATAAGAGCCATTGAACCAAATTTAGGAATTCCATAACTAAGGTTTTGTATTACTCTATCTGAAATAACTTTATTTCTATGAATCAAATTTAAAAAAGTACGAGTAATAACAATAAACAGTTGTTTATTCCCATAAAAGAGATCTGGTGATCTATCAATTAATGCAGTAATAGTTTCAACTAATAATACACTGATTTCACCCGAAGTATCAATACTTAAATTATTAATAACCCAATTTAATATTTGGTTTATGTACTGTAAAACAACTCCATTCTTAGAATCATCTATCATTGTTTCAAGTAATAAAATTGAATATGTCTGAACATTTCCTTTTAATAAATAGATAATTAATTCTTCATAATTATTACTACTCAACATCACTGGAAGAAAAATATACATTTCTTGTAATGCCCATAATGAAAGTGAAGATGGTTGTCCAGTTTTTAATTCAATAAAAATCTTTTGAACAACCCATCCAAAAACATCACAAAATAAATCTTTTTGTAACCAACCTTTAACAATACTTCCTATAACATATAATATTGTTGGCCATGAAAGTGATTTAGATATGTTAACGACTAAGGCTATAAATTCATCATGATATTCTGCAGATATTTCATCAAGGGTAGAAGCTAAAGTATGAAGTAGAGGTGGTTCATCTTCAATAACATTATCATAAATATTAACAAAACTATCAATTCTGTTTAAAATTATTGTAGTAAATGATGTTAAATAAGATTGTAATTGTGATTTAAATGCATGTGATAATGATGCAAGAAGTGAATTTGCAGCAGAACATACTTCTTCACTTGAGTCTTCCAAAAATAATGAACAAGATTTAATAAGCTCATCAACATGTTGAGAAAGATGATCAGGTTCAGCAGTAAGAAATGATGATAAAAGGAGTGCATAATTTTGTTTAATATTAGTATTAAGAGAATAAGAAAGTTGTAACAAAGGAATAACCAATTGATTTCCATAGTCACTAAAAAAATCAGGATGAGTAGAAGACCCCACTAATAAAAATTGTAATATTGATTGAATAATTTCATTGTCATGAGTATTTTGAAATATTTTAATTATAATAGGAAAAAAATCACTACATCCTCCTTCTGTTGTTGAAGTATCTTCTTCAATAACAAATCGAGCAGTTTCAATAACACTAATTGAAAACTGACTTTCTAACGTTTGTTTAATAGTTCGAACAATAAAATTTTTGACTTGAATATTTCCTTTTTTATAACAATCTGCTATTAATGAACGTGCAAATGAAGCATTACAACCTCCTTCAAATGAAAGTTTTAATGACTCCGTACATAGTTGAGGAATAATATTTCCTGTTCTATTTACATACTTTCTTAAATGAATACAAGCTGAAAGTTGAAGGTCATTGATTTGTAGGGCATTCAATAGACATTGCAAAAGGTCATTGTATTGAGTTATTTCTGTTTCAAATAAAATTACTTTTTGTTTTAATTCATTATTATTAGCATGTTGTACTTCTCTTAAAAACATGTTAACATGTTGTTGATGTTCTGTGTTGCAAATCATCAATAATTCTCATTTTAGGTTTTTCAAGTAAAAGGAAAAAGGGTTTCTCAATATCAAATTCTTCACATAAAATGTTTTTTCTACAGTTTTATAACGAAACACAAATGAAAAACCTTTAAAATAGTTTAAAATTGAACTTCTCATATTCATTAGTTAAGGTTTAATACGAAAGTAAAATAAACAGTGTTATTAAGAAGTGTAACAAAACAGAATTTAAAGTAATAAATAAATGTTGAAACAAAAAAGAAAAAAGTATTCTCTTATATATTAAAAAGTAAAACTAAAAAATTTTGAACTTAGTATTTACCCTCAATGGACGCAAAGAAGGTATATTTAAAAGTATATAATCTTTCTATGGTAGTTGGATGGACATTCATCCTTGTTACTTATTTCCTTAAAGCATTAGAAACAGGATTTGATGCTCCATTAATGTATCCACATGTAAGAATTGCTTTAATGATTTTCCAATATGGTGCTATTCTTGAAATTTTCCATGCCATTACTGGTCTTGTTCCAAGTCCACTTGGAACAACAATTACACAAGTTTTCTCAAGGGTAGTATTAGTTGCTGTTCTTGAATATATTCCAGAAAGTCGTGCTCTTGGATTCCTTCTTTTAGGATGTGCCTGGTCTGTTACTGAAGTAATTAGATATTCATTCTATTCATTCAAATTATTTGGATTAGCTGTTCCATACCCATTATTATGGTGTAGATATTCATTCTTCATTGTATTATATCCAATGGGTGTTTCAGGTGAAGTTATTACTCTTTTCAAATCACTTCCTTATTTCAGAACTGTTACTGTATTTGGTTTATTCCCAGCATCATACATAATCTGGGCACTTATTCTTTATTATATTCCAGGCCTTTACATGTTATATAAATACATGTTAAGTCAAAGAAAGAAAGTTCTTGGCAAAAAGAATGAGAATAAACCAGTTGAAGGTTTATTCAAAAAAGATAATTAAAATTAATTTTTTAATAAAATTTATTATAAATTATAATTTTTATAAAAAAAAATATAAAAAAACTTAAAAAATAGATTTTTTTTCTTCTGGTAAATAAAAAATGGATGTACTAAAGGACTATTATGTCCAATTATTATGTCAAAATAAAAATCAAGATAGAGATACTATTATTAAAGAAATTGTGAAGTTAGGAGATAGTAAACAAATGATTCCAATATTTATTGAAAGTTTAATTAAAGAGTTTAACTATCCTAAAGGAAATAATGATGAATATTATAATATTTTATTACGATGTATATCTTTTATTTCAAAAGAATATTTAGCATTAGCATTGTTTTATTTTCAGAAGTCAGAATTCATTACTTCTTTTGGAGAAATGACTGATAAATTAATTGTTCTTAAATCTTCAAAAAGAATAGTATTATTAAATCAACTTATTGATATTGGAATTATTGTTTTTTCTTTTGTTGAAATTCCATTTATTCCAATTCAAATTATTCGAGTTAGATTTGATTGTATTGAAGAAACAAAAGTAATTCTTTTATTATTTAAGTCTTTGTTAAATAATTTAAATTCTAAAATAATAAATAAAATATGTTTAAATGAGACAATGACAAAAGCATTAGAATTAACAATTCAAACAATGAATAATATTATATTAAATAAAGATATATTAATCATCATTGAAACATATCTTCAATTTTTATGTTTAAGTTGTAAAACTGATTCTAGAATATTAAATATTCACATTCATTCATTATTTTTTAATAAATTAGTAAAAATATTATTAACATGTACAAATAAATTAATGAATAATGAAAATAGATATCTTAATTCTATTATTGCATCATTACAACATTTATGTTTCTTTGGAAATGGAATAGAATCTTATCAATTTCAAAAAATTAAAAAAACTAAAGTATCTAACCCAATTCGTAATGTAGAATTACCTTCAGTTTTAATGCGTTTACTTGATTGTCCACCATTAGTTCTTTCAGTTTTACAATCATTGAAAATAGTTCTTTTTAGTAATTCACAAAATTATACATTTTTACCTGCCTATATGGAATCTATTTGTTTAATGATTACTTCTTTTAATAAAGAAGAAATAGAATATGTTTTTCAAATGTTAGAATTTCTTTTTATAACTTTACAAGCAAATCCTTCAAATTATCTTGAATTATTAAAACCATTAATTAATTTTAATACAATATCTAATACCTCTTTATTAATTCCATTAGTTAATTTTATTACTTATTTAGTTGGGTCAAATAGAGCTACATTTCAGAATGTAATGTCTGTATTTATTCCATTATTTTTTCAAGTTCTTTTTGAGTCTTTTAATCAATATAATGAAGAAAATGAAATTATTAATAGCTTAGTAAAAGTTATTTGTATTTTATTAGCAGGTAATAAAACTAATTCTATAACATTAATAAATGAAAATAATACAATGGAATGTCTTATTAATGTATTTAATAAAAAGTCTCATTTCAGAAGAGTTATTACCTTAATAATAAAAGAAATAGTACCATTAATTCCTTCTGACCAACTCACTTTAGTTTTAAGTTTTTTATTTCAAGATATTATTATCGATAATGATCCATTAAGTAGATTAAAATCTTCAATTGAAATTATGGATCAATCAGTCATGTCAAGAGAAATATATGGTTTATCAAATAATTTTGAATTATTTACTTCTTTTATTTTAAAGTGGAGGTATAATAAAATTAATGAAGACTATAAAAATACTTCTCTTATCTTTCACCGTTTACTTATATTACAAACATGCATTGATTCATACATTATTGGTATGAGAGAGTGTTCAGCAAATAGAGATAGATTAAAAGCTTCTATTTCAAACGAGTTTATTGATGACTTTGTCATTTATAATCCATGGAAAGAATTTGATTTGTCTAATATCATTGCTATGATTCTCTCTCTCATCATAGAACAACCAGTAAATAAATCATTACCATTACTAACAGAAAAACATCTTGGAATCAGTATTGTTAATTGTTATTTACTTCCAAGCTTATTAAATGGAATGAAGTTACTTGATAAAAACCAACGAAATTGTTTATTTAGTAATCTCTTAAATTCACTAAATAATGCATACTCATTATATGGAACATACGTTTATGATATTCTTAGTTTATTATTGACTGGATTTGAAGACTCATTAGATGGAGGAATATTAACTGAACTAATCCAAAAGATTGGTAGATATGCCATAAAAAATAATGATTGTAAGTATCTTTTACGTAAATTGAAACAAGGAACTAACACCTCAAATCTAATTTCTCTTCTTAGTTTCATTTCAACAGGGGTTACTATTGGTGGATTAACATTTGATACATCAGATAAAGTTGCATATATAAAGAATTATGTTTGGTTAGACTCATTTCCAATGGTACTTACTGGATGGCTACAACTTGGTCCTGGGTTTTATAAAATTTTAGAAATTAAAACAATGTCAAATTATGGTGAGCTAACGTTCTTTGTTAAGAATGGAATATTAGATATTACTTGTAATACTATCAATTGTATATCTGTAAAAGTGCCTGTTGGTGTGTGGTTTCATTTTGCTCTTTGCTGTGATGAGATATCTACAGTGTACATTAATGCAAAGAAAGTTGGAAAAATTATTCAAAACATGGACATATTACAAGGTAGTTGTTCTATATGCTTAGGGCACTGTGGTAATGTTGTTTCTCCAGGAGTATTTCGGATTGGAGAATGGATGATTATCAATGGATTAAAAACAAAGAGTGAAATTAAAGCAATGTATGAATTAGGATCACAGTACAAAGGGAGATACTGTGCACATTGTTATGATGACTCACGAAGTTTAAGAGGTATTGGAAAAGTCCCTTTCATTCAAATTGATAGACAAGATTTAATTTATGTTATGAATGATCTTATCAATAATATATCAAGGACAGACTTAGAGATAGAAGGAAGAGTTTGTCCAACATCACCTTCCCCATTTGTTGAATGTATTTGTAAATGTGGTGGAATTTCTGTATTATTGTCAATAATAGAAAAATCAACAACGACAGTAGAGTTATGTGACTCATTACAAATACTATTGTTTTGTTTAAGAGGTTCATCCGAACTTTATTCTGAGGCATTAAAAACACATTCATTTCAAATTCTTGTTCTAATATTATATTCAAAACACAACCTCATATCACATGGAGTTTTACAAGTATTATTAGCGTTATCAGGAATTGGAACAAGTTATGAAGATTTTAGTGTAACTCATCCTGAGATATTAACAACACTAGCTCTTGATTTTAAAATTGCTAGGTCATGTCCAAATGGAATTGAATATATATTAAGGATATTAAAATCAGTTTATGACTTTTCTCCAGTTTCTGCATCAGAGTCTCTAAGAGGAGGTGGGTTAATGAGTAAATTAATGTACCTTTTTATTGATGAAAGTACTGAAATATCTGTTTTTCCGTATGTCACTGATTTACTTACTTGTATTCTTTCTATAAATTGTAACAAAGAAGAGGTTTCTACAGTCATGTCATTTGCTTGTTATTTTCTTCAAGTATTTGATAAAATTGATTCAGGTACTCACCTTTCATTTTGTTCATTTAGATGTTCACAACTTCTGACATTACTGGATCAAATTGTTTCTGTAAAAGGAGTTTTACCAGGATTATCTTCTTATTTTATTTATCAGTTTATTAATGTTTCAAATCCACCAGAATCAATTTTACCACCATTACTTCATCTTGCTGCAAATCTTTCATTTTTATCTTCAACATTTTGTTCTGAATTTTATTCAGGAATAAACCAATTATTACAAGTAGTTAGTTTATTAATTCTCTCAAAAGAATCTATAAAATCTTTATTTTCTTTACTACTTAAATCATCACCAAATGAATCTCAAATTGTTACTTCAACAATTCCAGATAAAAAACAATTTCATTGGTTGTATTTACATATTTTATTTAAAATGGTTCATCATTCTTTATTATCTGAAATTCAATCAATAAAAATATATAATTCTTGTTTTATTATAGAGACGTTAACAAATATATTACGACAATTCTATTCTTTAAGAGGAGTAATTACCGAAGAAGATAATATTTTATATTCACTATTATCTATTATGAATAATTCAAATGAGGAATATATTTATTCATTAAATATAACAAAAGAACAAAAAGGTTTATGCGGAGATATAGTTAAATTAATTGGATACATATGTGCAGCAACATTAAGAGATGGTTTGAATTATCAAAGAGTAATAATTGGAGCAGCACTAATACAAAAGAATAAAGAGTTTGTAAAAGAAATTATTAAATCAACAATCCTTCATTTAAAATCACTTCATTCCACAATTAATATTCATCGTTTATCAGAGTTATTTGTTCAATTTTCAGAGAATTTAATAGATTTGTCAACAGTTTCTGAAATTGGTATTTCACTTAATTTTTGTATTGAATCAATTTTTATGTTAATAAATATTTACGAACAACACCCTGAATTACAAACAATTGAACAAAATAAGATTTGGATCAAAATGATGGATCGTATGAATATATTAATGTTTAACTATTTTGAAGAACAGTCATTCTTATTTGTTGCTCAACACTTCCACCAACAAGACTTCTTTTTAAGACAAAAACATTCAGAAGAGTTTGTTCCTATAATGTTTTGGATTATTGTTCAAAAAATACCAAAAGGAACAGTAAACGATATAACAATATTGTATTGTGGAGTTCTCAAAAGACTAGTTATGAATTGTATGAGTGCATTTGATAAGTTCATTACACAGAAAGAGTTAAGAGATCAAATTAAGTCAATGCTTCAAATGAGTACCGAAGATATTGTTGAATTAATAAAAAATAATCATAACACTTTCTCTAAACTTTGTGAAAGGAGTGAAATAATGTTAAAAGAGTTTAAAGAAGAACAAAAGAAAAGAAAAGATGAAATTTCATTTGTTGTCGAAGAAGAACGAAAGATTATTGAAAAATATCAAAGAACAGAAAGAAAAGAAGGTAAAGAAAAAAAGAAAAATGATGAAAAGAGAGTTGCAGTTATTTCTCAATACGTTAAAGATAAAGAAAGTATCGAATGTATGTCTGATTCATTAAAGATGAGTGTTAAAGTAGAGTGGGAAAAAATGAAACTTAAATTAATAATGCCAAAAGGTATTTGGGAAGAAGATGTTGAAGAGTATATGATAGATGATATCCAAAGTTCATTTGGTATAAGAAGAAGAATTGTAAGAGATTATAGATTCAAAGAAAGATACGAATCCCAAATTGGTGAGTATGGTAAAATAATCAAATTACCAATAATACAAAAAAATTATGATATTGAGGTATTAACAACACCATTTGGTGAAGAAGAGGAGATATATTATTGTACTCAACTTTATGGATTAGAAGAAGTAGAAAGTCAAATTAAAATAGATGAAAAGAAATTTATTCTGATTAATTATATAAATACAGACCATTGTGACTGGATTAAAATTGATTGGAATGATATTGTTTGTATTATAAAAAGGAGGTATTTGCTTCAAAATAATGCTATTGAAATATTAACGTGTTATGGAAAGTCATTGTTTTTAATCTTTGAACATAAATATGATAAAATCATTAAAAAATTCATGAAATATAAAAGTGAATCATTTGATATTATTCATGAAATTGAACCACCAATTAATTTAATTAATAAAATTGGAAAAGTATTTAATCAAATAGATGAGATGACTGAATTATGGAAGAAAGGTGAATTGTCAAATTTTAATTATTTAATGTATCTTAATACTAAAGCAGGAAGAAGTTTTAATGACCTTTCTCAATATCCTATTTTTCCATGGATATTAAATGATTATACCAGTAAAACTATTGACTTAAATGATGAACATATTTATCGTAATTTTGCTTATCCAATCGTTGCTCAAACTGAAAACAAAAGAGAAAAACTACAGATTAAGTTTCAAGAAAATGGAAGTCATTTTGGTAATCACTACAGTTCACTTGCAACAACTTTGGTATTTCTATTTAGGGCTGAACCATATATGAAAATGCATATTCAATTGTTTGATGGGCATTTTGATACAGACCGATTGTTTAATTCAATAAGTAAATTCTTTGATAACTTGTCTGCTACACCAATTGAACTTATTCCAGAGTTTTTCTTCTTACCTCAATTTCTTATCAACTTTAATACAATAGACTTTGGTAAACGAAAAGATAACAACGTTGTTAATAACGTTGAATTACCTCCATGGTGTAATGGCAATCCTCGTCAGTTTGTTAATATCAATATGAAAGCATTAGAATCACCATACGTCAGTCAACATCTTAATGAATGGATTGATCTTATTTTTGGTTATAAACAACGAGGAAAGAATGCAGAAGAAGCATGTAATGTATATCCACAATGTTCATATGAAATTGGAGATTTATCAAAAATGAATGAAAAAGAAAGACAAACGACACTTGATAAAATAAGAAATTTTGGACAAACTCCAATTCAATTGTTTAAGACACCTCATCCAAAGAGAGAAGTTAGTTGTACAAAGTATAACATTGGAGTATTTGAACAAGATAAAAATTATTCATTAACTGTTGTAAATAAAAGTGGTTTTCCAATTGGAGAGATGCTATTTGATGAGAAAAATGAAATTATAATAACACGAAAAGGAGAAATAATTATTCCGAATGGAAGTGTTCAAGTTGGAAGTGGTGGAATTATGAGAATAGAACGAAATGGAAAGATAATGAATATTGAAGAATGTCAAAATGGTTCAATTCTTATTGGTGATGAACGAAATGTATTAGTTGGAGGTGGGGATGGTAGTATTCAAATCATTGATATTAGTACAGATTCACCAAAGAAACGAGGAAGATTATGTGGGCATGATACTGCAATTACATGTTGTGTAATTGATAATAACAATAATATTATTATTACTGGTGATCAACATGGAATTTGTTTGATTTGGGATATTGGCACATTAATGTGTTTACATGTAATTGAAGTAGGAGAATGCGTAATTGGATTAGATATTAACAATGAAACAGGAAATTTTATTGTATTAACACAACACCAACTTCATTATTATGATATAAATGGTGATTTAATCGGTCAAAGTCAAAGTCTTGAACATGAACAATTCACTTCTGTTGTCGTTACACAAACACCAATGTGGAATGATAAAATATTCGTTGTTGTTGGTAATATGAAAGGTAATGTCACATTTTTGCAATTAACTGACAACTTTGAGTTTATTCTTTGTCAGACTATTCCTAGCCATCCAACACCAATAGAATCTTTGAAAATTTCAAATGATAATACTTCCATTTTAATTGGACATGTAAATGGCATTGTAATTTGTTTGAATTAAATTGTTGTTGTTCCTTTATTCTCTTGTTAAATTAACTAAAATAAATGAAATAATTTAATTAAACTTATTCAGCAATTATTCCATATCTTCAGATGACTCTTTCTCCATTTGGAATACTACTATTCTTTCTGGAGTAAACTTCTGGTCCATACGACCTGTCAAAGCATAATGAATTTCTTCTCCATTAATTCTGTAATCAAACGATGCTTGTTTGCATTGACATTGTTTTTCAGTATCTTTTTTATATACAACAATGTCAGAACCATAACCCACTTTAAATAACATCTCATTTCTTTGTGGTTTGAGAAGAAAGGCATTCTTTCCTTCTTCTTTTTTAATATCAAATTTTACTATTCCATTAAACCTGTGGTTGGATGTAAATGAAAATACAAATGCATTTGAATCTTCAATCATTTCATCAATTTTAGTGATAAATGAATGTAAGTATATTCCAAATTTATTGTTCATATCGTCTTCAATAATAATTAAAATATTAGAATGTTCAATAATATTTTTTCCAAACTCAGATGACTTAGTATCCCATTTATTTAAGGTAGAATCAAAAAGCAGTTGTCCTTTCTTTAATCCAGTCCATTTTTCGATTTGATTATGTTCTTCTTTTGATACAAATCTTTCAATACTTTTATCTTGAGGAGAAGTATCTTGTTTCTTCTCTTCTCTAAATCTTAACTCAATATATTGCAATAATTGGTCATCATTAAATTCCTTTATTCTCTCATTATCTTTTAATTTATTAGAAATATCTTGATGAATAAGTTTAATATTTGTATCATTAGTATCTACTCTAGTTCTAATATCTTCTAGTTTCTCACCATGGTATTTGTAGTTACTAAATAATTCATTTATTTTATCACTAACAATATTTTGTTCAAATAAATTAATAAATTCTTCAACAAATTTATTTATTTTTTGCTGATTTGAATAATTTTCATCAGCTTTTATTATCATAATTGACTCTTGCACTTCATTTAATTTACTTTCATATTGGTTTAATTTATTTTCATATTGGTTTAATTTACTTTCCACTTGTTTTTTAAATTCAGTAAATTCACTCATGAGTATGGTATTTACTATTTCTTTGATTTCAGACTTATCTATTTCTTCTTTTGTTGGTTTTATGGTTTTATCATAAAGACTTTGCATTAATTAAATGAACTTATAAATTACTTTTATATTGAAAAACTCTCAAAATAATACCCTTTTTTAATTCCATTAAGTGTAAAATATACTCTTATTGGATAGACATAAAATAGAAAAGAATGGAAAAGAAAAAGTGTCTTAAATGATCTTGTAAAAAAATGAAGAAGTAAACGTTTTCTATTTTCTTCTTTTTTTTATCGCTGTTACCTTATTTTAAATACATTTGAAGGGTTAATGTCAAATAATTATTACATGGATAATATCATGTGTAAGAGGAATTTTCTTTTTAGAATGAGTGGAATTTGTTTTAATGTAATTATATAAATAAACAAAAAGCAACACAATCAAAAGAAATTCCATTTTTTTTAACAACCAGATATAGTTGTTAAAGCCATCACTATAACCGCCACGTGATAAATTTAAAATAACTATTATTATCTAAGATTGGTTAAAAATATTGTCAATTAAATAGTATCACATTCAATAACATTTTTAAATTACAACCATCATAACACTACTCTCTTGTACTTATCAATTCAACAAGTTAGTATTAACAAACATTTAAACAAATAATATCCTTAAAATAAATCCAATTCAATCACGTTAATAGTATTTTTTTCGTTGTTTATCTAAGAGACATATTAAAGATAATATTATTACAGTAGATAACAATATGCTTTTTTCTATGATCCTTAATACACAACGACTATCATCAATATATATATACAAAACACTTTTGTTTGAATATTTAAGAATAGAAATAAATATGAATATATCTGGTTATTAAAATTATGCTCTAAATGATACATTCAAGTATCTAAGAAAATAATATATGTAACTACTTCATATAACTGAAATAAGTATATATAATATTAGAATAGTGAAACTATATTTTGATTAAAAAAGCAAATAATTAAGTATTAATGTAACTTGTTATTATTCTTGCCTCGGTGGAGACTAATTAAATCATTTCATATTTTTCCAAGTTCTATAGAGTATATTCTATTATTTTAGATTTAATATTCAATTCAATTCTTAATGGATTTCATGAAATGGTTTTTAATTTCTTTAATGAAGTCAATTTCAATTTTTAATTCTTTAATTAATCTGATACTTTCTTTATTCACTAATCCATTTATTGAAATTACTACTTGAATTATTCTGTCATCTTTTAATTTCTCTATTTTCATTAGCCTATTCTTTAATTCCTTATACATATTTCTTTTCTTCAAATACACTCAATTAATATTGTGATATTCAACATTAGTCATATCAAATAATAAACCAGTTTGGTTCTTTTTATCTAATACATATATATCTGGTATTTTGTGATATTGTCATTCATTTTTATGCATTATTTGTTTGTTCAATATCATTGTAATGTCTTTATATTGTAACACTGTTTCATATAGTACTTCTTGTATTGTTCATTTCATGTATATCTTCTTATTAATCCCTCCCATATTATAATGCCGATATTGTCATGTTTTTCCATTTGTGATTTATTATGATAAATACAAGATAGTAGGATGTGTTCTACTGTTGTCGTCTTGTCTTTACATAGTTTTTGATTTTCTATGATTACAAAGAGTCTTAATATACTAAAAAATATAAAACAAATTAAAAACAAAAAAATGAAAGATAGTAGAGAAATTATTTTTAGTTTTGAAACATTAATTCCAAATACTTTTTATCTGCAAGTTCATTAAATTCTTGATAAATAATATCTGAGTCATATACAACTTGAGCAGGAATTTTTTTATGCATGTCTTGTAAAAACTCAACCATTCCATCAAATCCCTTTTGTTTCTCAACTATTTGATCACCATTTTTAAGGATAATAGCACTACAAATAAAATAATACAATTTTCTTTCTGGATAAGCGAAAATACGGTCCCAAACATTAAGACAATCACGTGAACTAAAATCACGTTTAAACAATAATACAATCCATCTGTAACAAAACAAATAATTTACATTATTTCTTATAAAATAATCATATAAAGATGGATTTACAAATTTAATAATCCATCCAACTTCTTCAAAATTTTGCACTTCATGATTTGTTCTTGGTTTATAAAATTGTTCCATCATATCCATAACTGATTTAAATAACCAAAATACTTCTGATTCATCTAATGTAATTTCCATAATTAAACTACAAATATCATTCATTCCTTGACCATATCCAATTCTCCAATTATATAAAGCATATGTTCTTAATACATCACGTAACATTACAACATTTTTTTCATTAAAAAATTTCTCATGTTTATTATCAGTTCTTCTAACATCTTTGTCTATTTGTTCTAATGTTTGTTTCATTGTTATCCAATTTGTTAATTGTTCAGGAATGAAATTTTCCCATTGTGTTTTAATCATAAAATATTCTTTTCTTCGTTTTTGATCAAGTTCCTCTCGTTGTTTAGTTGTCATATCAAATCGATAATATCCTAAAACAAGTTTCCATACAAATGTACGTGCATCAGGTTGTAACCCACTAAAATATGTTGATTTTCTAATATCTTCTTGTGCTGAAACTTCAAAACTACCGTCTTCGTTTGCTAATGAAAGAATTGTCTTAAGATCAATTGGAGTAATTTGAGACAAATCAATTGGAGAAGAACTTAAAATATCAGCAACTTTTTCTAACCGTTTATGAACAATAAAAACATTTTGTTGTCCATCTTTTCTATATTAAATAAATATTCAAATTATTTATAATGAATTATATTTAAAAACAATTGAACAAACGGTACTATTGTAAATCCATTTTCTATAATAACATTAAGAAAAAAATAAACATTAAATTCACTATCTTTTGGAAAGAAGAATGAAGGAAGATGTTTTTCTATAGTAGAAAAATTAATTGTATCAAAATTATTAATAGGAGATGAAATACAAAGTCCAGATATATCATCAATACTAAAAGTAATACTAAACGTGTTGTTTTTTGATCTTGACTTTCCATCTAATGATATAGAAGACCTAAATTGGAACGTTAAAATATTCATATTAACTGAAATTTTTATATTTCCATCAATCATTGATCTATCTTCATTTTGAACATACACATGAGGTATGATTGTAATTGTTTTTTCATTACTTTCTTTTGATTCTCTTGGAGTATTTGGTGACTTGCTTTTAAACATTCCAAAATTAATCTTCAATTTCGTTTGACTTCTTTTTTTGTTGTTGAATTTTCTTTTTTCTTCTTTTTTTCATTTTTACTATATTTTTAATTTTATTTTATTATTTATATAGTTTTTTTATTTTATGCTTTTGTTATAATATTATTTATTATATTTACTACTTTATTTTAAAAAATCTAAAAAATTTGATAAACACAAAAATTTTAGATAAATCAAATAACAAAAAATTTATCAAAATCTTAAAAAATTAATGGAAAATTGGGGTGAATTAATAGATAATGAAATCAATAGTAATGGATGGGAAATATTTCCTAATGTTCAAGAATGTAAAGAAGCAAGATATAAAAATACTGAAACTACTGTTGTTGATGTTCAACTTTCTATGAGTTTAAAAGGATGTAGTATATATACTTTTTTAAATAATCCAATAATAATTACAAAATGGTATCCTTTTCTTCATAGTTTAGAAAAAAGAGGTGATGAATATATTGGAATGATATTAAGTCCATTAGCACAAACATTTGTACCATATAAATTTAATTTCTTTGCATCAGTTAATAATACTTCATTTACTGTAGTACTTCAAGGTGTTCCAAAAATATTGATAATTTTAAAAGAGATGGGAAATGAATGTATTACTCATATTTTATATTATCAAAACGCTCAACCAATTCAGTTATTGTCTTCATGTTTATTGATTTTTAAATGTTTGTCTGCTGCTCTTTCAGGAATTGAAGAGTATAGAATATTAGTATCAATGGAACATGCTTGTTATCCTCGTTATACTGCACCTCCATTAAGTCGTTATATTCATGAAAGTCAACGTGTAAGAATAACTGCCAATGAAGAAGGAAATGAAATGTTTATTCAAGCAGATATTAAAGTACCTTTACGTCCACAAACATTTTATGATCTTGTTACAACAAAAAATGGATTAATGAGCATTATATCAGAAAATATAGGAATTAAAGATGGTCCTATCCTTTCTTACAGACATCTTCAATTCAGTCCATTAGTACAACCATCTATTTCAATGGACATAGTACAAGGTTCTCGTATTACACCTGATTGGATGGCTTTAATATTTAAAACAACACAATATCCTGGTTGTCTTCATGAACATCATAGTCTAATAGAATTTAAAGAGAGTGTTATTTCTTTTAGGCATTGTGATGACGATGATACCAGAGTTCGTTTTAGCATTCTTTTAAATCTCCCAATCATACACTCTTTTCCACTTCCTTTAAGAGAAAAGTTTTTGTCAAATTTAGTTGCACCAACATTATATTATTTTGCTACAATTGCTTCACCATCTTTATTAACACCTCCAAAAGTTTTTCCAACAGATCCTAATTTACCAGAAATGATTACAATTGAAAGTATGTCTTCATTATTACTTAATGCAATCACATTATCTAAAACAAAACAAAAACAAATTACAACCTTAACTTCATTACCTGATTCCATTCTTTTAAAGATTTTCAGTTATCTTAGAATAGACGCTATTCGTAATGTACAATTATTATGCAAATCTTTTTTCTCTCTTATAAATGGTAGTTTAGCAGTAGAAACATGGAAAGGAATTTATCATTCAACTTGTTATTATAATGGTCGTTTACATCCAGAAGAAACTAAAGAAAATTTAATGAATGTTGCAAAGATTCAAGCTTTATGGAGGACAACAGAATTTAAACCAACAATACAACAGTTTGGAGAAAAAGCAATCACTGCCATTGATATTAATGGTTCTATTTTTATGGGAAATGAAGACGGAGAAATCCAAGAAATTATAAAAGAAAAATATACACAAAAAAAATATAAAAAGTCATTATCTTCAGTTTGTGGGATCAAACGAATTGGAAGAACTACATACATTGGATATAGGGATGGAAAAATATCAATTATTGGTGAAAATAAAGAAGAAACTAAAATAGTAAAAAGTCATACAAAAATGGATTTTTCATTAGATGGTAGATATTGTTATGGATGGGGTAAATCAATTTCTGTTATTGAATTAGAATCTGGAAGTATTGTTAATGAATATGAACCACATATGGCAACTATTACACAAGTTAAAGAAATGAAAAATTTATTAATTTCAAGTAGTTTAGATAAAACCATTAAAGTTTTTGATAGAAGAAGTAATGCTATAACTATGGATTTAAAAGGTCATAGTAATGCAGTTAAAGGATTTGATGTTACTGGAGAATGGCAAATTATTTCTTGTGGTGATGAAAAAGCTTCTATTGCTTGGGATATTAGAACTGGAAAAATGTTATGCAAGTCTGATCTTGCTGTTATTCCAACTTGTATGGCAACATTTAATAGAAAAGTTATTTGTTGTGGTACTAATGGTCAAGTAGTATTACAATGGAATAAAATAACTTTAGGTGACAGAAGGTATATATTTAAAGTTCCTAATATTCCTACATCAGTATCTCTTGATGATGACATTGTTGTTGTTGGTACAAGTAATGGGTTAATTTATTTAGCCCCTATTTAGATCTTTATTTTAGCTTTCCTCAATTGTTATCTTACATATTTCTTTTTCAGTATTAAATGGTAATACTTTAATTTTGAAAGTGTATAAAAAGTTAATACTTTTATGGTTTGTCAAAAGAATTTAATTCTTTTGGTAATAAAATTGTCTTATTTAATTGATTTCTTTTCATGTTAATTATCTTTATTCTCATAAATTTTTCTTTTAAGTAACACTTTTCTTTTAAGTAAAAAAGAGATATGTTTTTAGATATATTAGTATTTGTATAAATAAAGATATAGGTTATTGTATGTTAATGGTGTATTTAATGTATAGATTAGATTGAGTAAAAATGAGTTGAATTGTTTGAAGAAATTTAATTTAATTTGATAATGAGGTATAAATCACCTCTTTTTCCAGTTGTTCCAATTGGCATTCCATATCTTTCATATGGTCCTTGTATACCTTCTTGTCCTGTTATTATAACAGGAATATTATTTCCATCAATACATGGAATAGAACATTGGAATGTTTTGTTTCTATAAGACTGAGGAATAACAACAGTTTGGAAGAGGTTATTTTCTTGTCTTCGAAAAGACTCTGTCTGTTGTGTTTTAGTAACAATAATTAAGTCCCTTTTTCTTCCATTGATTGGTGTTCCATATCCTTTGTAATTAAATTCAGCACCATCTGATAGTCCAACACTAATTGGAATAGTAAAAATTTGTTTATTTATTTCTATTTCTTCTTGACACCCAGTGAAATAATGATAGATTGGAATGTCAACAGTTACAATTTGTGGTTCAATTGGTATGTCTTCATCAACTCTATTCTCTTTTTTGTTGATAGTTTCTTGTTTTAGTTCATGAGTGAAAGTTTCTTGGCTCATTTGGTTCATTGGCATTTGTTCAATATAACTTTTAAGTCTTTGATTTTCTTTTCTTAATTCATCAATAGTCTTTTCATCCTTTAGAGATTTTTCAGTTAAACTTTTTTGTTTTTGTTCTATCACAAGATTCATTTTAGTTATTTCTTCATCCTTTTCTTTGATATGGGTTTCTAGTTCAACTACTTTATTTTGAAGACTAGTGTTAGTTGAATTAAGTTCTTCTATGGCTTTATTAGTTTTATAAATAGTTTCTTTATTTTGTTGTTTCTCTTGGTTTAATTGATCAATAGTAATTTTATTATTTGATTGTGTTGTCCTCATTTCATTAATAGTACTGTTTAATAAATTATTTTCATTCACTAGTTTTTTTTTTTCTGTTTTTTCTGAAAGTGAATATTCTTCTAATTCCTTTTTTTCTTTGTGTAGTTTATTTATTGTTTCAGTTTTTTCTGATACTTCTTTCTGAAGTTTAGCAATTTCCTCTTCCAAATTTATTGCAACCTTTTCATGAATTGTGTCTGTTTCTTCTATGTTTTCATCATTATTCTGTTTGACTGTCTTTTCAGTCTCCACAATTTCGTTTTGATGTATGTTATCAAGCTCTTTTTTAATTTCATAACATTCTTTTTCTTTATTTTCAATTATCTTGTCTTTTTCTTTTATAACAACTTCTTTTTCCTCAATAACTTTTAGACTTTGTGAGTACTCTTTTTGTATTTCTTCCAATTGTTGTTTTAGCTTTTCATAGTCAATACCCTTAACTTTTTCTTTTTGGAGTTCTTCACTTATCCTTATAATTTCATCTTTGAGATTAGCATTTTCATTTATAAAACAAGCAATTTTTTTATTCATATCAATTATCTCTAGTTTTAACTTAGAAATCTCTCTTTTTTCTTCTCCATCATCTACAACAACTTCTTTTTCTTGTTTGTTTTCTTCTTTTATGTCTTGTTGGATAGTTGAGTCTTGCATTTATTAAGAAATGTTATTAAATAGATATTTCTTATATTTTTATAACTAATGACTTTAATATTTTTATTTTATTTTAATTTTAAGATCGAAGGTGGCATGTAAAAACACCACACATAAATACTAATACAAATTCAAACTTCGACTCTCCCAGTTATTATCTGGTTATGACGGTGCCTTTGAATTAGGAATGTATTAGGGAATGCTGCAAAGGGTGCAGCAAGAGAATACAGTAGAATATTACGTGGATGTAATATAAGAATCTACTGAAGTGTGGGTATGACTAAAAGAAGATTAGTCAAAGGAAGACTAAAAAGAAGATTAGTCAAAGTAATACAGTAGTAATAAAGTGATTCCTTCTTCCATTCATAAAATAAGAAAAATGAAATTCCTGAAAATTAAGGCAGAAAACAAACAAAGGATTAAAAAGAAGAAATAAGCGAAGAAGTTTGAAAAACCTTAATAGGAAGAAATAAAGCAAAGAAGTGCTTTCCTCATTTTGCAAGACAAACCTAAATGAAAGGTTAAACAAAAAGATTACTCTTTTTTAATAAGCTCAGGGATGGGATTAGTCTCCCCTGAGCTAGGAAGAATAGATGAAAATTCTATTAATACTTAATTAACTAATTTATATATTTTTTATTTTAATTTTAAAATCCTTTTCTAATTCTTAGCATAACAAATTTTAATGCCATGGTTATTGTGTAAAACATTTGAGTCTTGTAAAGAAAAATAAACAAAACATAGAAACTCAACACCATACAATAGAATGAATGACAATAACAATAAATTGCATAATAATAATGATAAACGATATACCAAGGAAAAATGGATTAGAAGATAAAAATAAGAAACAAGGTAAATACAATAACAATAAAGATTAAACAAATAACAAATATAAATGAATAACAATAAATGAGATACAAGAAA